AGGTACAAGGGATGGTTAGTGGTACCTTTTGCTGATGATTTGAGGAAGGATGTGATGACTGAGACTCACCACTCTGAGTTCTCTGTTTATCCAGGAGGCGACAAAATGTAACAGGATATGAAGCGACAGTTTTGGTGGGCTGGTATGAAGAGGGATATTGCTCTTTTTGTTTCTCGGTGTAGTACTTGTCAGATAGTCAAGATAGATCATCAGAGATCGCCAGGAGCTCTACAGCCACTGCCGATACCGGAGTGGAATTGGGAGAGCATTTCTATGGATTTTGTGGAGGGATTGCCAAACTCTTTCAAGGATCACAACTCTATTTGGGTTATCGTGGACAGATTGACGAAATCAGCTCATTTCTTGCCTATTCGCACTGACTTCACTTCAGAGCAGTTGGCGAGGCTTTACATTACCGAGATTGTGAAGTTACATGGCATTCCATTGTCTATTATATCGGACAGGGATTCGAGCTTTGTGTCTGGATTCTGGAATAGTTTCCAGCAGGCTTTGGGTACAGAGTTGCACCTTAGTACTACTTATCATCCTCAGACTGATGGACAGACTGAGAGGATTAATCAGATCATAGAGGATATGCTCCAGTCGTGTGTTCTTGATTTTAAGGGCCACTGGGAGGATTATTTACCACTTGTGGAGTTTGACTACAATAATAGTTTTCAGAAAACTATTGGAATGGCACCATTTGAGGTCGCCTGTTTGTTGGATGGAGGTTGGCGAGAGCAGATTTATGGGTCCTGAGTTCATCAAGGATATTTCTGCGAAGATTGCTCTTATTAGGGATCGCATGCACACTGCCCAGAGTAGGCAGAAGAATTATGCGGATCGTCGCACACGTGTTTTGGAGTTTCAAGTTGGGGATCAGGTTCTACTCAAAGTGTCGCCTTTGAAATGTGCAATGCGCTTTGGGAAGAAAGGGAAGTTGTCACCGCGGTTTGTCGGTTCATTCATGATTACGGATCGAGTTGGAGCCGTCACTTATCGGTTGGCACTTCTAGATAATTTGGATCGTATCCACAACGTATTCCACGTTTCCATGTTGCGAAAATTTCTGCGAGATGAGGATCAGTATCAGCATATCAATGTTGGGGAGATTGAGTTGTAGCCGGATGTAACTTATTTGGAGCCACCGTGTCGTATTGTCGACCGGCGGGATCAAATCCTTCGTAATAAGGTTATTCCATTAGTTCAGGTTCAGTGGAGTCATCACAATGAGGTTGAGTCCACTTGGGAACGAGAGGATGTCATTCGCTCACAGTTTCCTAAAATATTGGAAGAAGGTAAGAGGGAATTCCGATGACGGAATTCCTTTTGTTAGGGGGGAAGAATGTAATACCCCTAATTTTAGAAGCATATTTCTGGTATTTAATTTATATTTTAATTGCGTTTTTATTTGATTTGTTGCTAACTTGTTTTTATTGTGGTGATTGAATTGAATTAATTGTGTTATTTTAAATTTTTTAAATTGGAATTACTTGTTTAAGTGTTTTAATTATTTAATTGATTTAATTATTTAATTGGGTTATTTAATTGGAATTAATTGTTTAAGTGTTTTTAATTCATTAGTTGTATTTTACTGTTTTAATTACCAAATTTATTTAATTGATTTAATTAGTTAATGCATTGTGTATTTATTTTCTTTATCATAACTGTAGGATTGCTTGCCTATAGAGTATGCACATAAGTAACCAACATAGTTTTAACCTAGCTTTCTCTATGGGCCGAGTTTCAGTTTAGGGTTTAGTTGGACTTAGGTTTAATGGTGGTCTATAAATACTCACCTAGAATATCCGCCTAGGGTTTTAGAAGAATACTATGACATAGTAAGGCTAAGAGAAGTTTTGGAGACGGTTGGGAAAGAACAGAGAGCAAACAGAGGATTCGCTAGAAAATTGAGACGAACGTCGGTGTAACGCAAGTTCTGTCCTTACTCTCTCCCGTAGGCTTCGTATTCTTTGCATTCCTAAATAATTCTAGGATTGATTTAATTCATAAAAATGTTATCTATTTATGCTAAAACTTGGATTATCACAGTATGTTTGCTTGCTTGCAAAACCTGTTAAAACGTGTTATTTGCTTGCTTAATTCTCTGTTTAATCCTATGCATGGAATGTATTAAAGACTTAAACATGGACTGGGAACCTACTGGGATTGAGTTACAACTTCTGGGAACCATAGTATAGGGTAGAGAAGTTGTAGAAGGCGTTTAAAGAAGAAGGAAGACGAAGAGACGAGACAGAGAGGGAGAGAGCCGGCTCTCCCTTGGAGAGAGCCGGCTTCCTTTGAGTTAGAGGTGGCTCCCAAGTGTGGGAGCCAGCTCCAAGGCCTAAAGGAGGCAGCTCCACAATTTGGGAGACGTTTCCTTAGTGAATTCTGATTTTTTTCTTCGTTTTCAGTCAGTTTTTGCATGTAGTGGTTGATTCTGGAGTTTTCAGTTGAGTTCAAGATTGAATATGGAAGGTCTAATTGATGTATATGGTTAGGTTAAGGCTCCAGATGTGATGTTAATTAAGTCTATGTGCTTAGAATAGTTTGGACAGTTAGGACTTAATTAGACAGTTACACTGTGTTTAAATTTGGAAAGCTAGTAATGTTTAACTCTCTCTGAATTAGTAATCTTCTGAGATGGATGGATTAATTGTAACATGTTGAACCATATATCATGATCATGTATCTGAATTATATTTGTTTTGGATGAGTTGGTGCTGAGTGACTTTAAGATTTAAACAAACTTAACACTATACTAGATTTTGTGAAACACTACAGATTAAGCATGTCTATGTATATATTGTATTTTTGTTTTGATGTTTCATTATTACTGTTAGTATCAATTGCTGGAGGTATGGACTTTGTTGATATTTACCTTAATTGCTTGTAATATCAACTACTGGATGTTGAATGCTACTAAGATTTAAACTTAACACTATACCGGATTTTATGAAACATTATAAATTAAGTGTGTTTATGAAAATACTGTAATTATGTTTTGATGCTTTCATTATCACTGTTAGTATCAATTGTTGGAAGTATGGATTTAGTTGATATTTACCTTAAGTGTTTGTTTTATCAACTGCTGGATGGTTGGATAGTATACACTGGTATGGGACGGTGGTATACTAGGGACGGTTTGGTTTCAAAATACCAAAACCTACCTACTCTGGATTAAGAATTGGATTAACTAAAAGTTAAGTCCTATTGATTGTAGTGTCATGGCAACGACTAATTGAGCGGCACTACTAGGATACATGATGGATTTTAAATATATTGTTATGGTACCTCGATATGAGCTTGAGTCTCAAGATCGACGGTTAGGGAGCGTATATGCATTGGGATACATAGCTGGCTACGATGGTTGGAGGTGTACCCTGTTTAGGCTTAGGTACACATGCCCACTTCGTGTGCGTTTTAGCATGTTATCTCTATTTAGGTTGAGACCGGCCTGTAGTCCAGTGAGAGTCTTTTAGTGTGACTATATATATATATCTATGGATTATTAGCTATTGTTGAATAGTTTAGGATGTACATGCGTGTAGGGCCTCTGCTTGGATTGTAGTAGTATAGAACTTGTGCGTGGGCCTGACCCACTTCTATTTTTCAAGTACACGACAATTCCAAACTTAGACGTATTCGTGCTGAGTAGAGGTTTCTACTCACTCTACCGATGACGTAGGACTTCTCTCCATAGCTTATTTATGGATGTTCTTTCAGTTATTTTATTTCATTTTGAATTATTATTAGGGGTTTATTAAAGATGGATTCCCGAGTTGTTTAATCTATTGGAGGTTTTGGATTATTGGGATTTAAGTATTTACTTTAAGGGATTTTATTTTAGTATCTTCCAGCTTTTATTATCTATTCTGATTTCATTTTGTTACCTGTGTTTGTTTTAAAATATTAATTGTTTGATATTCCCTCGGGTTTGGGCCTGGGCCTGATCAACTCGTGTCTCGGATCCGAGGGGTATCACAGGGGGTGTGCTGAGTAACTTCTCATGCATGTGGCACAGATCTGAGGGGACAACACATAGGCTATTAGAGTCGATTTTCTTCCACTATGCTGATATATAAAAGGTGGCAGATAATGTGTAACTTCCTGTGGACAAGTGGCATGAGCAGAGCGTGCCAACAAGCTAGTAGTTGGGCTTGTTAACTACATATGTAGTGTTGACACACTTAGTGGGTGCCAACATGGCCCTAGGTGGATGGGGGTATCATCCACCACTTTAGTGGGTAGTTGTGGGTAGATGGGGGTGTCATCCACTACTTTAGTGGGCGGTTTGAGAGTTTGCCTATATATTGCTAATGTGGGTTCTGTAGAGAGGGCAGATTAAGAGTGAGACACAGAGTTGTGTTGTGAGAGACTCTTGTATGTTTCTGCAGGTTGAGGCATTTCATTATACTGTTTTGTGAATAATAGTAAAAGGTTGGAAGCCTTGTACTTCTGTAAATTCGTGGGTATTATTGTCTTTACATTTTTGCAACTATACTTGTGTGTGATAGTGTTTTACTTACTATGTGTTTTAGGCAGCAAGTGTGAGTTAGCTGAGCTAAGTTAGAAATTCAAAGAAAAGTTGTTGATATTTCTGGCTCAGTGCTATCACAGGGCACTAGATTCGTGTTCAGAATTTACCCCTGTGACAGAATGAATGGAAATGAATTAACAAAAGATATTGGCTGCAGGGTCATGTACGGCCCTGTGAAACCTTGTTTTTCCTACTTTTCCTTATACAAGCATCTTATATATATATATATATATATATATATATATATATTATTTAAACAGACATTTTATTTAAGAGTGTTTCGTACCAGAGAAAGTCAAACCTTTTAGACGCGTTTCTAGAAAGTCTACCCTTTAGCCATTGTTTATGAAGCTTCAAGGAAGGTGTTCCATAATTTATTGACATCCATCACAAGCACATATATTTTCATCATAAATATAGACTGCCACAAGCCCTTTAATCTTCACCAACAGATCTTAAAATTTGCAGCGAAAGTGTTCCATTTCACTGTCTCTTTTCTTCATAGAGCCTGTGCTCATATTTCACTCTTGAATTATCCTTTTTCTAGACAAGCCAATCTCTCTCTCACTCTCTCTTTCTCTCTCTCTCTCAAGTCTCAACCTTGTCAACCTTTATCAAGAAGATTAATGGCAGAGAAGGAGCAGCAACCAGGGCATAACTCGGCCGCACCATATAATTATGGCCGAGCAGACGAAGAGGCACAAACCAAAGAACTTAAACGCCAGAAACGCAAGAAACTTATTCTTTATATTGCTGCGTTCGCTGTATTCCAAACCATTGTTATAGTGATCTTTTCACTCACTGTCATGAAGGTCAAAACTCCCAAGTTCCGCGTTCGTACTGCCTCATTTGAGACATTTAGTGTCACAGCATCATCATTTGACATGAGAATGAATGCTCGACTTGGTGTCAAGAACACCAACTTCGGTCCCTACAAATTCGACAATAGTACCATTACCTTCTACTACAGGGGTGCAGAAATAGGGAATGCTCTTGTTCCTAAGTCAACGGCTAAATTTCAATCCACCAAGAGCTTCAATGTTACAATAAATCTATCATCAACTAATTTACCAACCAGTTCAGAATTAGGAAGTGATTTCAATTCTGGGATTTTGCCACTGAGCAGCACATCAAGATTGACCGGAAAGGTGGAGCTAATGCTGGTGATGAAGAAGAAGAAAGCTATCAATATGAATTGCACCATGGAAGTTAATATCGCGAGCAAGCAAATCCAGAATTTGAAATGCGAATGATACATATTTGTGTTAATCTGCTTAGTGTTTAATTCCTGAAAATTCTTTTGATTCTTTTTGTTTATTTTTTTATTTTTTTATTTTTTTATTTTTTCAATGTATTTGAGTGTGCACTTAATATATATTTTTGTGTGTCATCCTTTTCTACCTTTTTTATTTTTTTGGATACAATATAATATAACAAGCACAAATGACATTTCCCTAACATCTTCTAGATGAAAGAATTCCTAAATTGTTTATAAACATATTTACTTAATTTTTATTCCAAAGGTGAACAAATAGACTAACATGGAAGTGATAAATTTGTTCAGAATTAACGGTTTAATTGAATCTGCAAAACGAAGAATAATTTTAGAGAAATATGTTATTTGTATTAATAATTGAATGAATAAAAGTTAATTATTCACTTTACAGTACATATATTTATAAGGGTAAATTGTAATGACACCCTCTGGGGTTTCGGTTATTGACACTCAACGGACTGTCAACAACTTAATTAGTTTGCTTTGACACCCCATGAAGTTTCAAAAGTTTACATAGACACCCTTTCCAAACCTATGACATAAAAGAAAATAACTATTTAGCCCTTTGACTGAGTCAGCAAATACACAATAAAAAGTATAAATTATTAATATAATCCTTTAAACTAAATTTGAAGGACCAAGAGAATCTTTATTCCCCATTCTTGCTCTCTCCAAAAATTTTGCACCATTTCTATCCTTACCACCTGCCACCTCTCCCATCTTCTCTCATCCGAAGGCAAAGGAGCGAGATTGTAAGATAATGGTATCTAGTTCGAAACTCATTGTCATCCTCAAGTGTAAGCCAACTAAAAGAAACAACCCTCTACTAGAACCAAAAGCATGTTTGCGATGGTGGGTGGTGGTTGTGAGGTGGAGGTTGCGGTGGTGAGGGAGAGAGAAAGAAAGAAGGGGTAGAGGTGGCGGCGGCAGGTTGTGGTGGCTCTTCATCATGTTTGCAATTAGGGTAAGTTAGATGGCTAATTTGGTCATTTCATGGGGCAGATATTTTTAAAATAAAATTGAATTAAAAATTTAGGTGCATTTTAGACTTTTGAAACCTCAGGTGTTAATGTAAACAAAGTCGTTGACAGTCCGCTGAGTGACGATTGGGGGTGTCAATGTAATTTACCCTATTTATAATAAAAGTAAAAACTTAGTTTCCAAGAAACTTAATCCTAAAAGGAAACTAATAGAACAAGAAAATTAAAACATAAGAAAACTATCCAAACTTAAATTCTCTAAAAATTAAAAAAAAAGAACTCGTCCTCAAGTTTAATCATATACAAGTATGAATAAAATTTTATACTGAAACGTGTCAGACTAGTTGCAAATTAGCCGGGTAAAGAGTGACCAATTGTAGGTGTCATGATGCCTCATTCTTGCTTGCATAGATCTAACACTAAATCTGAGCTCCAGAAGGCAACCTGCCTTATCACGTGCTGGCAATACAAGGCCAATTAAATCTGTAGTTATAGATTTGCTTAAAAGATCCACCCTATTATGAACTTCAAAAGTCAGTTTCTCAAGCAAAGGTTGAATGACCAATTACCCATTAAGATTATTACATTAGCACTCCACCCTGGTGTTGGAGAATGAGAGATGTTGTAAAGAAATTGAAGTCAAACATATGCTTTTGAAAAATATGCAATCACTTGATTTTGGATTGCCAACAACTTCCATAGCATCACTAACTACTGCTACATGTTGTACAACATCATCATTGACATTACGTGTTGTGGCAGTAGGATGAGAGACCAGATCATCCGCTTCGAATTTGGATGGAGTTTGCTCATTGTAAGATAAAAGAAATTTGGATTTCAAAAGATGTTTTATCTCCAACTAAGATCGTACTCGTGCTTTTTTTTGTTGTGTACGAGAAACTCGCAATTGTTCCCACCAATTAAAAGCTATTCCTTCCAATTTGTATGCAACTAATGCCACCTTATTTTCCTGTTTAATATCCATATAATGAAAGAACCTCTCAAAATCTTCTAGCTACTCCAGAAAATCTTCAACATGAAAAAGACCATCAAAATAGGAGGAAAATTCCAAGGATCATAATCCACATTATTAAAATAAATTCGCATGTCTTTATGACCCCCAAACACATCTTTAGTGTAATGTTCATCATCATCATCACTGAATTCATCCGCATAGGCTGGCAACCTACGTGACGGGATGGGGTTGCGATTCCGAACAAGATGAATGCTATCTTCTTTAACGTTACGAAACCTGTTGTTTTCGCGGTTATGCTCCAACTCAAACCTAGCAAGCATAGATTGAATAAAAGGAAATTCTTTAGATTTTCTAAATCATAGCTGTGAAATAAAAATAAAAAATAGCTGTGATCCTAACAGTAAACTATTGGGAAAAAAAGGATTAGTACGAGGATTGGTTGAAAATACAAGTATAGTGTAAATAATATTTAATATTTAATAGTATATATTATATATAATATTATAATGTCTGTGTATATATATATATCATGGGTAAACGTACAAAAGAAGTTGAGTAAGAAGAAGAATACCATATGCTTCAATGGTGGAGGATATGTAATTAAAAATGACAATGGATTATATATTATACGTGAGGTAATGCAATGTTCAAACACCTTATTTTCATCTAATGTCCATTTGTTAGGTCACCACCCTCGGATAGTTGAGGGTGGTTTTTTGGCAAAAAAATTTGTAAAGAGGGATTTAATGCAAAATCCAAATACAAAAAGGGGGTTGAATGCCATTCACCCTTATTTTTATAGCACCAAACAGAAAGCATGAATTTTAATAATAGAAGCCGCATAAAAGGGTATGCTTACAAGTAAACATTGAAACTCAAAATAAATGACACTATGGACATAATCAATTTTATTTTTTTTCTAGAAGCTAAAGCAAACACACAATTAATCATACCAACAAAGTGTCCCTATTGGAACTCAAACTCACTTCTCCTTTATAGTGGAGAGATCATACCATTTGGATATGAGGCCTAGTGGTAATGTAGAATCAACTTGGTAAAGCAAGATAGATTATATCATTTTCCCTTTTTAGTGTAATTTAATAACCAATACAGTTTTCATTTTGTGGCCTTGTTAGGAAAATTAAATCCCTCTAACCCATTCAATGGTTAGCTATTATTTAGAGAGTTAAATTTCTCTTTCTTCACATACAACGAAAATAACATTATCATATTATTACAACCATATATGGATGAGAGATTTCACTATATGTAACGAATAAGTGAATATACTACCTGATGTCAAAACCGCATTCCCTCACTCATCATCTCTTTTGAGGCTAAATCTCTACACTTGAAAATTACATATACTCTCCCCTCTCCTCACATAACTCACTCTTAAACCCTTTACATCTTTCCTATCTTCTCTCCCTTTAAACCTAGCTCATACACCCGGCCATTTCTATTTATAAAGTCTTCAAACCCAGTTCCTTGTTGAACAAAATTCCCCAACTTGTCACAATGAGTTACCATATCAATTACAACTCTACAATAGCAAGTACAACTTATTTCCCAAGTCTTCTAACTTCCAAAACGGGAACAAAAAAACAAAAAAAAAAAAGGTCTCCCTCGCATATCAGGTAAGTTCAACGGGTTCTAGTTTAAAGTTCAACTGATTGCACGTTAAAGTTCAACCAATTCCATTAAACTTTTTCAGAATGGGATTCTTCATCCAGATTTGAGCCATAACCCTAACAATCTCCATCATGGCTCAAAATTCGGTCTTTAATGTGTTCTTTCATTACTCTACATCGAACAAAGATCTGTTCAAGCTCCACTTTAACTAAAGAATTCTCCATCTCGAACAAAAAATTATGATGAAATTGAGAAACACTCTAACCGACCTACCCACCAAAAATAATAAATAAATTAATAAAATATAAGACTGTCATTTTATTTATTTGCCTAGTTAACATGGTCCATCTCTATTTTTATTTATTTATTTTTTTAATTTGTGGTGTGTTTTTGCCGGTTCCCATCCTTCACATATTTATCCCATACACATTTGCAAGCCCAATAATTTAAAGAAAATTCCGCGAGGAGTACTTTAACGTAAAATAAGTCAAACTAAGAAAGGTAATAAAATATTGATGTTCATATCTATAGGTATTAGTGGAGACCATATGAGGTTCCACTGCAAAGGAAAGGTAATCAAACATTGTTGTTCTTTTGCTTCAACTTTTGATAAAAAAAATAATAATAATAAATAAATAAAACAGTGATGTTCATTTTAGGCCTTTCTATTTTGAAATACTATTCCTTTTAATTTTTTTTTTTTGGGAATCCAACTTTTGAAGAGAATGAGTTTTAAATATTTTTAAATAGAAAGGCCTAAAATTTTTTATTTCTTCATATTATATCCTTCCTAAAATTTTTATTACCTTTCTATTATCACTTCAGCTAATATAAAGGCCCCAAAATTTGTATTTCTTAATACTAAAATTGTTATTTCTTCCTTATTATTAAACTCTACCCAACAGAAAGGGCCAATTTTTTTTTTTAATTTCCTTATATTATAACCGCCTTAAAATTTTTATTTGTATTGATTAGTAGACCCTAACCAATAATAATGGCCAAAAGATTTTTATCTTACCTCTTTTTCCTCTCTCTCAACTCCTCATTCTCTATTCTTTTTTCTCTAGAATTTGTAAAACTTTTCATATTCTTATTTTAACTTTTATCTTTTTAATTTTTATTTTTATTTTTTTCCTTCTTATTGATCGAGCCGCCCTGGTGGGAATGAGACCGGCCCTGGTGGTAATGAATGGAAACAAAATTAACAGAAGATATTGGCAGCATAAGGTCATGTACGGCACTGTAAAGCCTTGTTTTTCCTATGTTTCCTTATACAAGCATCTGATATATATTATTTAAACAGACATTTTATTTAAGAGTGTTTGGTACCAAAGAAAATCAAACCATTTAGACGCGTTTCTAGAAAGTCTACCCTTTAGCCATTGTTTATGAAGCTCCAAGGAAGGTGTTCCATAATTTATTAACATCCATCACAAGCACATATATTTGCATTATAAATATAGATTGCCACAAGCCCTTTAATCTTCACCAACAGATCTTAAAATTTCCAGCAAAAGTGTTCCATTTCACTGTCTCTT